TCAGTGTGGACTGGCTTACCGTTTGTGCGAAACAGATAAGGCTTAGATTCGCCACAGGCGTACTCATTGCACACGGTCACGGTAAGCCGGTGCTCGGTGTTAGCTGATAAATTAGTCAAATGATGCCATACAGTCCGTTCCCGCTCAAAGGTGTTTGGACTACTGTTCACTTCGGATCCTTCCGTAACCTGGGCATCCGGAGACGGCCACACGTCTGCGTTCATTCGATCCAACTCATGTAATCCGAGGGCCACAGTATGAACCCGATGTCCAGTGACACTCTTGTTCAGTGCTGCTCGTGGATACAGATTTCCGGTAGACTGAACATAACAAAATTGTAAAACGGTTCGTACAGCTCAACTTTTACTATGAGGAAATCAGTGGCATTTTTACAGCCTAATATTATGCTGAATCGTCAGAAATCAGTTATTTTAACGTTTTCCCTTGCAAATAAAATCACAATTTTCGTCATGTGGCATAGTTTTAACACACGATGCCAGTAGAAAGAATGGAATCAAGGCAGATGCAAACGTTGGCTTGTGGGTTAAGAAAACATTTCAATTATTTCCTTTAAGTTTACGATGCAATCACAATCTGAAATAAAAGCTTCATTGTGCAACGGCAACCATTCTGCTCTAACCTATATAGATAATTCGTTCATCAGTATGTCACTACCATGAAGCTTGTGTATACCAAAGCAAGATTTGGTTACCTACAAGCAAAATGAATAGCGAAAGATGCAATACTCACTTCCACCCTGCCTATGCTACGGAATGGACCAAAGCAATTTGAAAAGCAGTACAGATGATCATCGTGGATAGTAATCGTATGAGACGCCATATATGGAGTATAAAATATTATACTAACCACAGCGTGTGCGATACAAAACATACCTAGGCTGGAAAATTAGTTTTTTTATTACACACCTTAATGTGATGAACAGCAGAAGGGTTGAACCCCATACACATTACGACTTGTTGTACACTAATGGAAACCTAAGCCCTGGGACCTGGAGTGGCGAACAACGTATGGCCTCGATAGGTAAGGTGTGGTATTGAACCGCACGACAGCAAACCTGTCTGCCACCAAAGCTGGGTGGCGGGGCTCGAACCTTGGACGATAGCGTTCAAAGCACGCCGGTGACAGCAACTAAACCACTACCAATACCAAGAGTATCGCAATCAATTTGAAATAAACCGATATCGATTCATGTCGCTATACAAGAAGTATAATCTTGTAATAATCTACTTTACGGAATTGAATTAGTGGATCTGAATCTAAACACAAAACAGCTTTAATCGAATCAGAGAATAAGACTGGAGTGCCTGAGTCAGGAAAATCGTCTCTTTTTGTATCCCATCAGCTCTGGGGCCTCGGTAACTCATCAGTCACCACCATTTCCATTTGACCAGTTTTCTTCATCGCACAGAATTGTGACATAAACCACGGGAGGGGTTTGCGGTCAAGAGAACTTCCTGTTAACTCATGACAACTGTCAACCAAACCGTTGGAATTGACAGTTATGAAAAAATGTGCCAGTGAACCCAAAAGTTGAGAGACTGAACTCTGAGATTCCGCTCAAAATTCCACCAAGGTCAGCTTAACTTTTGGTGATGAAACAACGCTCGACACCCACAATCGCATCTGGTACACTCACTTTGCTTCAAGAATTACTTGTTCTATCATACATATCCCACATGGATGTAGAATTAACTTAGCTTCGGGTTATCTACAACTTTTATTACTTGATTTATAACTGTATCAGACTTAACCACTCATTTATGACTTCACCAAATGTGTCCCATGAACCATAATCTATTTTCGTTTCCAGTATAGTGCGCTGAATCCCAAGCGAACACAAGCAACAACTGTAAGTCAAACTTCAGTACCAGTGGTGCAACAGTCAACAAAACGCATTAGCACGTGCTTCGACCAGCGATCAGTGCACACCATGTGTCCCCAATGAGCTGTCCCAACATTTTTCACGAGAAGAGTAAGAAAAACGTCTATTCACAAGTTGCTCTTTGAATAGTTAACTAATGAACAGCCAAATCCCTAGACCGAATAAACAGCTTATGTCAAATGATGTTAGTTTGATAAAGTCTGTTCTGTGGGCACCACGCATCCATGAATGTGACAATTAGATGTATCACCGGATCGGGGAAACGGCACATTATGTCTCAAGATAGCGGGTAAAATATCGGCTAACAAATTGTGGCAAATCGGTCTTCCAGTCTTATTAATGGCCTGATTTAACGAAGTTCAGTTAGCAGTCTGATGAAGCACTGTGACCGCTTAGTTCATTGCGACATTTAACAAGCAGAAAGCTCCTCAATTCAAACAAATCGGTTTTCTCGTACCAATGAACGGGGATTTGTTAAAAAAAAACGAAACAAACCAACAAGTTATGTATAAAAGACATGAAACATCGGTAGTTCGACGATTCCGATCCTCGACCACGAAAGTGATGTTGATAAAAAACACTTCAGAACAGGACGAATCTTTCGGTCTCGACTGGAAGAAAATAAAGAGAATTTAAAGCAGACTAACCATGTGACACTAGCGTATACCGTAGTTCATCTGCATAAAATCAGTAGCGTTGCGTAAGGTTAATTTGCATTTTGGTTCAAGTGCTTAAACAACACAGATCAAACTTGATATCTGAGTGGCATAAATGAGACGGTTCGAAAGAACTCCACCAATACTTTGCAGCTACGTATGTGATTATGCGTGAATTTCGTCCGGAAGAGTTCGGCAAAGATAACCAAAATCTAATCAGTTCGATGCAAACATGCGTTAGAGTGCCGACGTGTAAGTGTGTAGGTGCGAAGATCGAAAGCCAGAACACTTCCTTACCGTCCTAGTTGTTTGTTTTTTGGTATCCCATTTCTAACTGTAAGTGTAATATCACCCATCGATGAGTGACGAATAAATAAAATTGCGCGCAGATTGTTAGTTAAACCAACAAAATGATGCTCTAACTTGTCTTTTTGGGCAAATTTGTATAGGTTTGACACCTGACCGTAAATAAATGGACGAACTGGGTTGCGAGATATTTTACAGAACACCATGTGGAAGGGATATCCTTAATAACGTTCTGGAAGTTCTCTTGTAGTTAATTCAATATTATTATTCGTTTGTAGTCGAGTGACCTTATCTTAGGGTCCGCTAGGTGGTGATCACATTGGTTGATTCGAAGAAACAATATTAAATTGAGAATACAAAATGATTCTGTCCTATGTTCAGACTTTTACCTTGTCATAGAACACAAATAGTCTAAAACAATGAAATATAATAATGAAGTTGAGATCGAGTTAACAGTAACCAAGGTTTTCCACACAGAAATAATTGCATTAGAAAATAAAATAGAACCCAGGTAAGAGAAATCACTGTTTTAAACGAAATTTTGTCGAAAGTGAACTCGAGAGTAGGTGGACAGTAAAGTGCAGTACTTTCAGCAATCGTCAATTAAACAACGAACATATTCAGAGGATATACCTTTACAAACTAGATGTCAAACTAAAATTTGTTTTACTCGATGAGGTTAATAGATAATCGAGGTAAATCAGTGCCGTAGATTACAGGGTAAATAAATTACTTTTAAACAAAACATAAAGTGTTGTGAGAAATGCAACCATGTTATGGTTTTTTTTTTCATTTGAGGAATTCAATTAAAAAAATCATTTTCGGTGCTTGAATACGTTTTCGGTACATCGATTCTGGGTAAACAAAATAAACGACCAAAGTTTATTTTAGCGAAGTGATTGAGGCCTCAAAACTCGAGAAGCAGTGAAGCTGTGCGCCTCGACGTGGGCCTGGAAAGAAAACATATAATTACGGAGAATAACATTAATTCCCAGAAAAAAGGCAATATTGGAGTCAAAGAATGTAGTGCGCAAAAATTCCCGATTGTTCAATTCCTTTTTTTATATAAACAATAAATAGAGTTATAGGTTAAACCCACAGTTAACTACACTCATGTACCAGTTATGAGAAACTGCAATCCAAACTCTACTAGTTGAACTGGCGAACCGCGTAACGTTCAATACTCCAGGATTGTTACCAAGCCAGCTCAGCTGCCTAACGCCAAAGTTATGAGGTGGTGGTGGTGGCAGTAATGGCGGGAATGAAACCTCGGAGAAGGAGACCTAGAACACACTATTCAGTGGCTTATATGTGTAAAACTGCACCATCGCTTAGCTTCATGTTCAAAGTGTTATGATAGCCGATTTCATGTTGTTATGCTGATAACCTTATCCTTTAGCTGCTAAAGTAAAATGATAACTTTTAGAACCAGTTGTAAACTATCCATCTATCCAAATATCAACTTATGATAACTGATTTTGCCCTGAGACAATGCAACAGAGAAACCGAATTATATCATGAAAAGTTGCATAACCAGTAAAGATATACTCACCTCATCTTCCATGTATTCTTCGATGTTCAGCGTGGCATTGACTAGCGGGGCACCAGAGTGTGTTTTCCATTTTAATAAATAATAGTCCGCATACTTTGTCTGACTCGGTGACAGAACTTCGGGATTTGATGGGGCCACTAGAAAGAAGATGGAGGTCGGTGTGCAATTACACTGTCAACCAACTCAAAAAATCTTGAACCGACACGGAAAATTAAAAGTACTTTTCAAAACCGATTCTACGTTTAAATACTCAAGGTTTATTTAATCGGATATTAAAATCCAAGTGAACAACTATTCACTTTGAAGCATTGAGTCCCGTTCTTCCATTTCATCAATACAGAAAGAAGACAAATGTCGAGAATTGTCACAACTTCTTCTCAATCGCTGACTTCAAACAAACAGGCACATACATAGCATATGGAGTTGATCAATTATAATGAACAAAATGTTTTTGATATAATCAATCCACTTACCGTGAGATTGAACTTCTGCTTCTATATTAAGTAATATGTGTATGCTTGTACACGTTTGTTCGCCACAATTGATCAACCCCATATGCTATATATGTGCCTGTATTTTTTAAGGCAGAGATTGAGAAGATTAAACGAAATGGTAACAACTCGCGACATTTATCCTCTTTCGGTATTGATGTAACTTTTCAGTTGTTCACATCGGTCAGATTGTGACACAACGGTTCGTTAGTTTTTCTTCAAATCATATAAGCTTCGTACAACTATTACTTGCGAAAAAGATTTCGAAATTGTGTGCCTCTAATCACTTTGCTGCGGAAACCTAAAACCTTGATAATCTCTACCTGTGTCACCCATACATCATCCAGACCCATTCCGAAAAGAATTCAACCACAAGGAATTCAAACTGATCCCTGATCACGTCACTCGGATGATGCATAAGCAAAGCTTGGTTTTCCTACTCCAATCTCGAAATCCGCGAAAAAGACAAAAACTTTGAATGAAATATGCAGCTGTTGGCAAGTTGCCAGAATAATCCGGACAAGCAAACCTGCATACACACACGCACGCGACTAGGCCCATGTGCACATTCACTAATAAAGGCTTGTGTGTGTTTTGTGTGCATGTGTGTGTGCACGGGCGACTATTACAAGACAGAGTACAGGCGAAAAGAACTCAGCCGAAAATGGTTCGGTCCTAGACACGCACGCTGAGACACACGCGCAGAGAGAGAGAGAGAAACGCATACTGGGATGCTTTGAGTTGTGTTAATAAATTTGTCCCAATGGGCCAGTCTGAATTGATCAGACTGGGCAATTTGCCCCGTAGCAGCAGCGAAGAACGAGTATGGACTGCTTCGATCGTTCGCCGATCCAACAACACTGGATACGAGCAGAATGCGTCACATCCCAATGTCCCACCTGCATTCACATCCAGTGCAACCCGATCAGTCAGTCAGCCAGTCAGTCAATCGGCCAGTCAAACAGTTTGATGTTCCGTACTTGCAGATAGCGTGGTGGCGGGTGAAAAGATCGATTTGAGTAGTTTTTAGGAGAATGAGACTCAATAGCTTCAGGCGGTAATTTAAAAGTGGCTTAGAGTCCATAGATATAAAAATTATGGTCCTAATTAGTTAGCATTGACAAATGGTTTTGACAGCATAATGATAATCAAAATTTTTCCCGGAGGTGTTAACTTCCTGATAAATGATTTGCAAAGTAATATGTCTGGATTATCCAGCTCCCTATCAAAAGCTGAATCCAATCTTCATTGTGCACTGAGCGGCGTTCAGAAAGATCGTTGGACAAAATCGGCATAAATTCGAAGTATATCATCTGTGTTAATGGTAGCAACTAATAACTGTTCAATTGCTCCCGAAACCGAAGTACCAAATCATATTCATGATGATAATGCTCGAGAAGAAAACTTATTTTTTCTGCATTACATTTTGGCGCAGTGAATGACAAAAAACGCAAAGAAACATAGACCGAAACGTAGCCCACATCAGTGCACTGTTCTCATAAGCAATTGCATTCTCACCCGACTCAACCCATTGGACTTGAAGTCTTGTGAACTGCCGTCTTCATCCAATGGCCGGTTATATTCATTACCACACTGTAGGTTTTCTGAGTCTTGGAGTGTACCGTTTCCTACAGAGCGTCACACTCGTTGCTAACAATAGGTAGATCGGAATGTCTCCAGGCCTTCTTGATGGAGAAAGAGCGGAATAACCTAGCAGCGTTATGACTGAGAACTATGCTAAACGATTATCCCAGTATATTACTATCACCAATTGTAAGAAAAATACAGTAGAGACCAAGCTAGATTTCAATGATTCATCCACTGGTTACTTTATCCCAACTTAAACTATAATGTTTGGTAGGAAAAGACTCGTTACAATTTGAGAAGGTAGTGGAAGATTTGATTTGATTTGATCATATGATGAATTTCGTCGAACAAACGGCAAATGAAGCATGAATTGTAATGTAAGAAAGCACTGGACAGCTGTTTCCACCTGGTTGGGTATAAACAGCAGTGTGAATACATCGACCCAACTTGGGATCGAACCCGGGATCTCGAATTTCATTCCAATGACAGGATATTGCTCAAATTGGGGTCATCACAGGTAAAGGTCAAAGCAATTCGTAAAAGTACTCGGTCTTCCGTATCCATCAACACGCACGCCACAGTCAGCCTCCGATCTCTCGAACCCCAATCAGCGTGATGAACATTGATGAGCATTAAAATGAAATGCTTTATTTCTCATCTCAATCTGCAATGAATCTTTTCCTATCAAACATTATTATATAAGTCGCTGCGTGTAGGCCGGTGAATGAATCACAATGGTCTACCTTAGTCACCGTTGTTTTTCTTACCATCCTCAACTACCTCAGGCTTTCCGATGAATGAGACATTATAATTGCATACAACCGACTTGTAAGTTGACCTTCAATGTGCACTAACTCAGAAATCTTCTTGTGGCATCTTTCAACATGGAGTTAAACAACAAAGATACATTGCCTTAGTTGACCTCATTCTTTTCGTTGGTTTAAGTCCATCTGTGGTCACACTTATATGGGTCAATCAAGTAGGCAATTACCTCAACTGATCAATGAGGGTCATTTGCACATAATAAGGAAGCGGTTTGGTGAGAGGTTCGATAATGACTCATCTCTAAGACTCGGTCCATTTGAATGAACCAGATATTTTGTACACAATCATGAACAGAATTTCAAAACATGAGTCCAGAGCAGTCAAGGTCTAGGCGAGATTGAAATGATTACCACAAGTTAACCAAAACTTAGTGCCAGAATTCCACGAAAGTTCATCAAAATCACGAATCCGGTTTAGCCAAAAGCCAATTGTATTACATTAAAAGTAAAGTGTATCGAATCTGAGCTTTCCCATGAGAGGGGGAAAACTTGACGTGTCACTCGTATACACATGTGTACACATGCGTACTTACCATCTTTCGGTTAGAAAGAAACGTCAGAATTTTACTTGATTACACGCACCAGGATTTCAGAGCAGAATGGCTTAGGCTTTTGGCACATACTCTCGATCAATCAGTCAGTAGTAGCTTTATGCAGTAGGATGGGTGAATTTTCAGCAATTACACCATATTTGTGGATTCAACTTTACAAAATCATTACATAATGAACCTGAAAGCAATAGGGAGTGTTTGTTAATGAAGCAAGCGGTTGCGCTATTCTGTGGAAATTCTGTCCTTGTCTATAGGTAGACGTGCTAGATATGGCAGAACAGAATAACGATAAGCAGAGGTACGTGCAAATAAAAGTTTAAATCTTGAGCGTGTGGATGATGTAGATACAGCTATTCAATTCGTTGTGAAATGGGTGGTGAGTGTCTGAGAGCATTTAGGCGGTGAAACTTTCACACGCTTGTAGGTGTCTGTCAATGATAGAATCAGCGAGTTTATCCCTGACAATGCCACTACATTTAGAGATGTGTTTCAGAGATCTCGCCAGTAAATAAATCTTTCTTCAACATACCGGGAAAAATTACTGGGGAGCAATACAACCAATGGGGTAGCACGCATGCATTCATAAATCTAACAATCAGCTCTTGTATGGGACAGAAAATGATCTTAATCGGAGTGAGAAATATGAAAGCCTTCTAACTTTACAGACTGTGTTTTCAACGTGCAGTAACCATGATAAATTGTGATAGGGTGATGCTAAGGTAGTTTACTATTTTTGATTTCGGTAGGGGTTGTTGATTTGCAGAGAAGGTGGGGGACCTATCTGTAAGGGCTGAATATGGTACATCGACCAAGAGGGAAAAAACAACATCCTGACATTTAGAGGCATTTAGAAGTAATGAGAGAACGGGACGAGGACCAATTGGCAACGTCGTTCAGCTTGCTTTGAATTTCTGAAGCCTCTTCAGGGGTGGATGCTTTGCAACCTATAACAACGTCATCAGCGTATTTACAGCCAATGAATGTAGGAGGAATGGGAAACTGTTTGACATACATAGAAAAGAAAAATGTGGAAAATATTGCACCTTGCAGGACACCAGAGAAAATTGAGCGAGTGGAGGACTTTTTACCGTTGAGACTTGTAAACTGCCTTCTATCTGTGAAATAATCACAGATCAGTCTGCTAGCGTTTGAATTTACACCACTTTCGGTAATCAGGTTGAGCAATACTGATCGATCAAGACTGCCGAAAGCGTTTTTTTAGTCTAAGAACACCATTCTGATGGTCTTACTTTTCTAGTGCCGAGATTATTGAATGAACAAGATATGCAACGGCATCAAGTGTTGACAGCGAAGAGCGATATGCAAATTGATATGTCGTCTTCGTCAGACTTAGTGGCAACCTACGGTAATAAGCGTCTCTCAAATAATTTGAGCATGACTGACGTGCAGGCTATGGGACGATATTTCCCAGGTTCCTTTTTTGGAACGGGAGTTATCTTGGCCAGTCTCCAAATATCAGGGATTTTCCCGCTTATAAGACAGTCATTGAATATTTTTGACAATGTGGCTGAAAGGATGCCTGCATATACTTTGAGTACTACCGGTGATAGTTCATCAGGGCCTGATGCTTTATTGAACTTAGTTTTCAGTAGCTGTTTCAGGACTGTGGCGGGTTCGATAGTTGATGTTGGCATAGAGCTGACTAAGTCAGGCAGGGTAGTGCACCGTGAAACTGGACTAAACTCAGAATTTAGTCTTTCAACGTCGACAGTTTCCTTTTTGCGTTTATTACTACTACCACAAAATCGGTTGATAGCTCTCCACATGCCACGACAACTAGAGTTTCCCAGGATAGTTTGTTCAACCGATTTATTTCAGCTTTGATCGAAATTGTTAGCCGCTTGACATGGATTCTTTGTCCTTGATTATAGGCTTGTTCTTTCCGCCTGCGTAGCTGCTTGAGTAGCGTTGATGAATATCTCTCTTTATGGATAAAGACCGTTTCTAGTGGACAACACTGGTTAAAACAGAAATTAAAGTAGTCCATAACATGTTCACAGAAGACAGAAGGGTTCTGATCGAGTAACACCAAAAAATCAGTGGTGGCAATCATGGACCTCAGCCTTTCTAGGTTCTCTGATGAACAATTTCTTTGACTCACTATCTTCTAAGGCCGTCTTAAAAATGTATATCGGTTGGTTTCGCTGAATACAGTGGGACATACTTTTAAGATACAATGGTCTGAAGTGCTCAGGGGAGCGCGTTTCTGGACTTTAAAAAATTGTGGTCTGTTTGTGAAAACGAAATCAAGCTGTGAATTCAGTCTGGTAGGAAAAAGTACTAAATTTTGTAGACCCAGTGTGGTGAGGAATGTTACATCATGTCTGTTGAAATCACCAACAAATATGCACAAAGAGCCACTTGTTTTTTGATATTATGGAGGTAGAAAAAATGTCAGAAAAGCTGTTTATGTCAGAAACTGATACTGTGGGCGACAGGTAAAAGTTTCCAAAAAAACGGGGCTTACATTCGATGACATGGCAACTGATTTTATCCGTTGAGTATTCGTAGATGACAGCAGTTGATTTGCTCCAGTTGTCGCTGACGTAACTTGCATTAACTCTACCTCGTTTACGGACATTCGCGGGACGGTCAACCCGATACAAGTTTTATCCATCCACTTGTACAATTTCACTAGGGATTTCTTCATGTAACCACGATTCCTGAAGCATAATAATTCGCAGGTTTTTTTACTCTTTTTCCGTATGATGTCTGCTACCTCCTCGACGTTTTCTAACAGAGAACGAACATTGCTTGTTAAAATGAGAGGAATTCGCATTTGATTGGTGCTGCACTGTCTGAGAGCGACTTGTCAACCTGTTCGATGCTTTCTCCCTCTGCCGTTTTGTGTTTTGATCATCCGCTTGAACGTATTTCTCACATTGTTGGAATATTTCACTAAATGGGCAGTTCGCTCGATAACACATAGCGGTTTCATGAGCGTTGTTGTGTAGGATAGCATTTGGTGTCCTTGAAATTGATAACAATGCGATTTGATGACAAATAAATCCATAAAAGTGTAAATATGATTTTCGAGATGAATGGCGCGGCCGAATTCAAAAGCCCCGCTCTGTTGATAAATGTTGATGATGAATAAACGTGCTGTCAGCAGCCCCTTGGAGATCATCCATTGATGTCGGTGCTGAGGAGAATTTCTTTAACATCAATGTTGGCATGATTGGCGTACCTTAAATCGAAAATGGAGTTGAGTGGTATCAACTCTGAGAATCGATTGAAGGACAGTAGCTAGCTATCAGTATCGCATTATGTCATGTGCTGTCCCAACATCCCTGTTGATAATGACGCTTAGAGTATGTTTCAGGGATTGACTGGCACAGCTGACAGAATCATGCATGTCCACATCATCAGCTACTGCATCAACGACTGGAAGGCGCAAGACATTCTCTCAGATAATGAGTCCATTGAAGCCTCCACCCCGATTGATGACNTGATGACACTGTTATCGCGTTATACTTCAGCAAGAAGAGGACCAAAGCCGAATGTCCAGTTGTAGCCAATGGTATGCCGAGATCAAAGCTTCTTACATACCCTTGGGATTGACCTAACCAAGACAATTTATTCACTTATCAAGTTTGCTTTTCTCAATGTTCATCAATGGATCTGGAATCATCCAATCGCGCAGGACATTCTGTATGGTTTGCAGGGATAATGACCGACAGCTGCGCATCGTGATGGGCAAAGTTAGCGAACACATTAATGCAGCTTGGAAAGACATAGATATGGTATACCAATTGCCTTAGAGTTCCTTGCACTATGCGTTGGTGACAGATTCGTAGCTTCACTTGAGGTTTTAAAGACTGCATTCTACTTTATACCTGATAGTTACGTTGCTCACAACTCTATGTCCAAAACTCCCTTTATCTCTTGATTCAGATTAAACTTTCCTTTTCAGTCCTCATGCATTAAACACAAACACCCCAAGCCTTTTTTCCGAGACCCTTGCCAGTACAATACTACATGATCTACAATCACCCCCATTTTCTGCATGTTACCAGGGGACGAAATATTGAACAAAATTCCTTTTGAAATTCGAAAACAGAAGGAGAGAAAGTGAAAGAACCGGGTTGAAAAACTAACAGTAGAAGCGTTTTACGTTCTGCTTATAGAACGTTTCACCAAATGACGTTATGGAAAGAATGTCACAAATAAGGAAGGTTAACCATGGTCTTTTACGTTAACAATGTGGTCAGTTATATGTTGACGACTAATTGGTAAGTTGCATTTTCCCTCATTAGGATGCGCGTGCGAAGTATGTAAACCAGGAGCATCAAACTAAAATACTCGTCCGAAATTGCCGAGATCCGAATAAAGAAAACTATGCAGATAGCGGTTGTAAGACATGGGTGTCTATTGCCGGCCAGTAGAAAAGGAAGATTCTAATATAATCACGCCCAAAATCTGAGCAGAACGAAGAAGGGCTACACGAAAGATAGAGAGAAAGCAAAAGTTGCTTCTCAGAGACCTTGAGAAGCACTTGTGAATAAAGGCGATCGAAGAAAACATGAACTTGACTATATCCCATATGTCTCAGAATCCCCGATGGATTGAAGATACGAAAGACGGACTTGTGAATAGAATGGACTAGAAACGGTAAGTTGTGGCTCGTTGGTATCATGGCTCATTAGAAAGCAAGTGAAGAAGCTTAGGCAGAAAAGTATGGTTCGCAACTAAAACAGATACCATGAAAATTGAAGGACGGGGGCGAAAGTAAAGTAAAAGACACTAACACAACCGAAGGAATATTGTCTTTTTGTCTTGTCTTTTTACTTCCTTTTTTATTTATTGGATAAATAAACGTACAGCCAACCTTCAAGAAGGGGGGCCGCGGCCATACAAATCCTGTCTGGGGAGAGGGGCGGCGGTGGAGCGGTTCGAACCCGGGTCAGGTCACAAGTTGATAACCAAACCACTTGGCCACCACCGCCTTTTGTAAATACTCCTGAATTGAATATTGTAGGTGATCTGGTTAATGTGGCGTATACTTAACACACTTCGTCCAACCAATTACTGGATGCCAATGGTAATCCGGGGAAGGGTAGAGCAACAGAATTGACCGCCTCTGGGATTTGTCATTCCCTGTTCGCATGCACGTGCCTCCAGGTCCCTTACACGGAGGGGGACGTCATGATCTCTAGTAATCCAGCATAATCCATGAGTGTCCACCACAAGACTGATATTCACATCCGCATGGACCACCACTTTTTCGACGCAAAGACAACAGCCGACCATTGATCATTCGTAGGGCATAAGACCCGTATGGTAGAAGCACATGTAACTAACTTCGTGTTCATTGGCAGGCAAGAACAAAATCTGATAAGAAAAATGACTTTAAGGGTGACTGGACTGAGTTAAAGAAGTTCATCTGAAATTGAATCCCATGAGCGCTCATGTGGCACACCGGAGAAGAAAGCAACTCCACAATATACTCTTCAGGGTACATTACAATTTCTGCAGGCCGAATGGATGTTCCTAGGAGTGCAGAGATTCGACTCGGAAGGTGTCAAGCCCAAACTGCGTTCCTAGTCGGTGATCGTCCAGTCCCAGCTCAGCTCCAGAACAGTTTCCAATTGCATTCCTCTGTGTTTCCCCCTGTACTGCTCACTGCTGCTGCATGTGTTGTCTCGATAAAGAATCAGTTTCCTACACCATACAGACTACTAATTTCTGTTGGTGTGGTTTGGACTGCTTTTATCGATAGCATTACTCCGTAACCTGTAGAATTGCACTAGATTGTACTATATTGGTAGTCAGAAATTTGAGCTCTGAGTATTGTAGTGGCGTACTGTGTAGAGATTGAGTAGGATATTGCGTGGGGAGACGGTCCATATACTAAACACCCATTTGAACCTGAGTTAAATAGGTTTAAGTCCAAATTATATGCGAACCGGGTCTCCAATGTCAGCGTCTAAAACCACTGAGTTATTGTGACTCAAAAATTTGCTTTAAAAACGTGATAAAATCAGTTTGAAGAACCAACTGGCGTAGGAAACTTCGAACCAAACAGATGGAACATCTAACTTGGTTTGGTTCACCAAAACCACTTGCCGATTAATATTTACTACATAAATAACTAATGTTCCCTCAGTTCATAATGACAATGAGGAAGTTCATCATACCTAAACGATAGCAGATCAACTGACAGAATACGAAATACTCCACCCAAATTACCGGAAAAAATTCAACAACATTCAGCAGTCAACGGTTAAATGTAAACAACAAAATTAGTGTGAATGACTTACGAGTAAATTCCACCGGTAGTATGGCCACACCAAAGGGATTTTCCGCTTTGCACACATAACGACGTAAATGCGTTTCTTTAATGCTGGGAATGCCCAAGCGATAGATCATCACGCCCCCTTGCGGTTGACTTGCTACCTCAGTGCCTGGATCGAGTTCCAAATTTTCACAAGTCACATCTGGGACTGGGTATCCGGTCACCGTGATCTGCATTTGAATAACGGAATTTGGAACTAAAATAAGTATTTTTGTGGATTAACACCAATTAGTCAAATGGAAAAAGGGAATGAAAGAATGATCGCCCATAACAGGTACATGGAGAGATGGATACGTGCCGCTTTGGTGGAAAAGACGTCTAACAAATACACAACCGCTACTACCCCTAAATAAATAGCGTCTGCATAGGCACTGTTCTGGTTAGACACAGTCAGGTAGTCAGGATCGGGCAGTGGAGGAAATGGGCGAAGGCTAAATCTCGTAGACGAGCATTATTTGATGGGGGTAGGCAGTGATTTTAGATCCAATGAAGGTTTTAGATTTATAAGCTCACAACAATTGTGAAATCTCGTTAGGATTCCTGGTCGGTTTCACGGGAGCTATTCGCTACGCGGTTGTGGACACTAAACCTCGCAGCCCCGTGAACTTTCGTTTCTTTGCCAACAACATTTCATCGAGGCTGCATTCTTGCAAACAGATTTCAATTTTTCTAAATGCGCGGTCAACTGACCACACGTAACGCAGCAGATATCAAACGAAACCGAGGAAAACTTTTGAAAAGTCAACATTTAGTTGAAGCAAACTGGTTTGAAGAAGCTCCTACTGCTGCATTTGATGTTATATCTGGCTGAACATTGACAAATTTTCCAAAGCAAACCATTCTCATTTCAGGTAAATGCAACATTCAAGAGGAATCGAATAGAATTTACTCATGCTTGAAAAAGAAATCCATTTTCGCGGTTCGCTGTTCCGCAATGATTCGTTTCAACTAACATCATACATTTTGCTCTGTACTTGGTGGTTTCGAAAGGTCTTGTCTGTTCGAACTTAACAACCTATGAGTTAGGTAGATAGAAAAGAAACTATCTCCTGAAAACCCATATTTTTGGTACACTAAAATACAAAGGACAAAATAATTGTCGAAAACATGAGTATAGAGCAGTCGCTACTGCCACGTTCCGAAATAACGTCTCCAGCCGATGGACACTACAATCTGTGTCAACTTATGATAGCTCTGTCCGCGAAGGTATAGCAGACAGTCGCAACCGGTTGGGATGACTGTTTAGTACTGTACCCCGGGTGATTTAATGTTGCACAGAATCGAGTCAAGCACAGGAGACAGTTTCGGTCGGAAAGACATGTCAGTTGTGGCGTATGAGCCACAAACGGTCGGAGGCAGGGTGAGAGACAGTCGAATGTCCGATTCAGACGGAAACAGCTTGGAAAATGACGTGGTTGAAAACAGCTGGACTGGTGCTGTGTTTTATCTGGAACAGTGAGAGAGTTGAAGTTCCGTGGGGTGAGACCGCGAGTTGAGGTGGTACATGGGAGGAGAAGCGAACACATTTCGCTAAACTAGACCCGGAAACAAAGTATCTGCTTAGGATGAATTTCGGGCCATACCAACAAATTGTTCTTTTCGCGTTCGCAGTAATTGAACAAAAGCCATTGAAATAAGATAGCGGAAGACCGAAAATCGGTCAAGAGCAACAGACCACGTGATTTATGACTCAGTAGAGTGAGAAGTGAACGAATAGATAACGTGTGTGTATCCGAGAGTTTCACAAAGGTCGATTGTAAGATGCAGCATGATCTTCGAGGCATGCATCTGCTGACGTTTCTGTGTGGATGAGTGAACATTTTTGCTGGGTGAAAATAGTTATACCAAGGCAATGGAAATATCCTCAATAATAATTTCATAAGAAAATCAAGTGTGTAATGTCTAACAACTAACTGAACGCATGAATGGTAAAGGGTGTCAATCATTATTATTATAATCTCTAAATTCTCTTCAATGAACTACAGATCCTAAGCTGATAATCTCTAACGACACGCCAGAAAAATTGTATTCTAGCGATTTAATTGGAATTTAGTAACTTTATATTGTTAATATGATGGTTGGTACTCTTATGCTCTGTCTCTTAATATGATTATCAACGATAACTCGTTCACTTGTTGAAGCTTTTCTTGTTTGCTGTTGGTGCTGTTGTTGAGAGCATCTAGCATATCTGAATTGATTTGCCCCAAACTAGATGAAGATTTTCTTACTGTGTTCAAATTTTTGAGGGAAACTANGGAAACTAGACGTATATGATCGTCTGTTTGTGGTACAGAAGACGACCACAATGTTTTAGCTGGTCCATATTGGCTTACTTTCGACACAACTTTTATCATTAATAAATATATAAAATTAGGCATGCGAATTAGGCTACCAATGCAAACCTCTAAATCCACGAAAGAAGTCACAGAACAGATAAACATAACGGGATCTGCATGAGTCACCAAGTGGCCTAAATTGAGATCCAGGTGCATGTCGGCCCCCGAACGGATGTGGTGCTTCTCGCAACCCGAAAACTTCCCTATTTCACCCTACTTTCATCCCATGAAGCACCTTTTCTCCACTATCCTTCTGGGGCAAGAGAAAGGAGGCTCTAAACCGATCAAAAATGGTGATTCTGCATCTCATTTCCTTATGTCAACTAATATGACGGTTTCTAAAGTATTACTGTGTATCCCAGGCTCCATGACAGGTAGATAGACAGTGCTGTGTGTGTGACTGCATCAAGCGAAACGGTTCTCGTCTCAGGCAAACCACCACCGCGTGCAACCCAAAGCGATATTTATGACTTGTATAGTACGTGTAGTATGTGGCACTTATCGGCTTCATCCAGAATATTTACACACAAACAAATCGTTTCTGAAAAACAATGCAAAAAGGGAAATGTTCCGTCCGTAAGCTTTGCATTTGCTACGAATTGTCACATTTTTTCTTTCTGTATTATTTAATCGCAATCAACAATAGCATCTCCCCTAGAACAGCCTATTAATGATTCATGGCTTGTAAACGCTTTGTTTAAACAGAAACAGTTTTAATTACTTGGTGAAACATTATAAGCGGCCACCTTAAGCGTAACTGAACGAGTTAGTCTGCATACAATGTAGCTCGATTAGGGTTTATGCATTCTCCGTTAAAATAAATCGTTTCCATTTTCCTGACTAGTAATACTTTAGGAAGCATTAATTTATGTATCTGTGCGGTATAGTTCTTTACTGTTCAGAACAATAAACTGTAAAATGAAAGGCGCCTTGGTACCCGATGAATGTTAAAAATGATGGCATAATAATCTTAGAGCAACTTTCTTCAAATTCATTCGCCGCATTGCTGGCAATCGTCAATATCGTGAACTCTAATGAGGTTAACAAAAGTCGTCCGGAAATATCAGCTAACTGTTTTGCAATAAACTTTATTTTTATTGTTTTAGACTGTATAGGTAACGGAGAACTTGGATCAGAATTCATGTGTGTGTTTTAGTTTACTGAATACCGATAACGCTAAAACCTAGCGGGGCCTTATGTAGTTTGCCACTCCAAGCCCCGAGGCTTAGGTTTCCATGACCGAACTGACTATGGGGTTCGAATCGTCTACTGTTCATGACACTTAAGTGTTACAAATATCAATTACCCACAACTACAATTTAAATTTGATACTTTTCGATATTGTAACCAGGACCCATGAGAATTTACTTTGTAGACCACTTTATTCGATCCACTGTGATTGAACCTAAATGATATTTCTGGTTTTATGGTATTGAAACTAAACCTAGTTAAAGCGAATCAAGTTAACTGATGGGGCTCTGTAGGAACAATGTAAAATGAATTATCTATTGCCCTGAGGTGTTTCCAATTGGACACTAAATTACACTTGTTTCTTTGACATGAAATGAAAACAATGGGTGGCCTGATTGCTCGTTTTATAATCGAATCGGAAGTTCACAGATCGAGGCATTAAAATAATCATCCTCATTTACCGAAATCGAAAGACTGGGGAGGGGACAGATAGTCAGAGAAGACATTGAGTGAAACCTTCATAGCGCAGTGAACAAGACAATGTCATCGGAAAGACTATTTTTGGTTTGAAGAAAGACGAACTTACAGTATCCGCACCTCCAGAAAGCTGCAAAACTAACGTGACTAGCGAATTCTGTCAAATGTTTTATCATTTGTTGTAAATCTCGGCATGATCTTCGATAGGAACGATAGAAAGGAACATTGGTGAAGCGCGGGTCTTTTTCTATGAGCGTTATGTTTTACTCCACAAATTGGTCATATGATTATCACGAAAAAGATTACCACTTCAAATTGAGTTCAAATAACATAAACTGTCATCAAAGGACGGTTGGAATACAATGGTAATCAAATGTCGGTAATATATCGTGAACCAATGGATATTTGCTCTTCAAAATATATTCAGAATACTTCGGCTGTTTTGTTTTGCTTTCACAACGAGTATGAATCTCACACGTTTCGGGTTGGTCACGAGGTAGTCAGTTTAGTGTATGGGGAACCACTCATCGCGATGGAGAAGCACTGCTCGATAAACAAACCGCGCAAAACCATTAGACATTGCTCCCGAGGCTTTTCAATGGTACGTTAGCGAAGCATTTTCAATGAATTTCGGGATATTTAGGATTTTACTTTTAGTGACCAAATCCTTAATTCTAAAAGATACAAACTGTCCACTCGCCCTTAAATTACATTCAGTGTTTTGATAACTATATCCATAACTTCCCAATAGGGTGAGCTTGTTTTCATTGGTACATTATTGATTTTTAAAGCGGAAATAAGCTGATCGTTTTCCCGCGTTCTGTCACAACCGACGTTCATTATTAGAATTCAGCGGTGAAGACGAAAAGCAAGCAAGAAGCAGAAGAATATATCGTTTTCGCTCTAGCCAAATCTGACAGATATTAAATGAATGAAGTGTTGCATGTGTGGCAAGATGTTCCATAAAACTGTGAGCTCGCGGATATATACATATGTTTGTGTGCTTGTGCATAGATGTAACCGAGTCGTAGCCTCATGAATTATTAAAAGTGTGAAAGGACCGTATCGATTGGAAAAACCGAATTTGCTTTGCTCAAGCTCTCTTCGTCTCTATCCTCGTGAATGGGTGATTTTTGTGGCAGGAAAAGGAAACCCAAAGAGGTTATCTGTACTAATTCCTGTCCATAGAAAAGACATAGATTCCCCGCCTTTGCCTCGCATGGTGATTGATATATATTGAATAACGAAATGGGATAGTTTGATTAGGATAGTTGATAGGACCGATAACAAACTAACAATCAGTAACACGTATTTGTGGACATCATTTTGGGTCGTCACCGGTTGCTAAATAAGATCATTACTGCCGAGAAGAAACCGGTTTACATATAGCTACCTTCCAAGGGCGAAACAACTGCCGATCTGATGATACGTAAGATCAGTACAGTTGTGGAAAAAGCATTCCCCCCAGCAAAACGGCGTATTATGTTCAGCTCTATGCCACTTCTATGCTTCCAATTCAAAGATGGCCTGTTTCTGCCGTCTCTTTCTGTGTGTACCTATTTATCTGTTACTG